TTCTAACATTTACAGATGGAGAATATACCTGTCAAATGTAAGTTGAGCACTGAGGAAAGCACCACATCTCAAGTATATCTGTCAGTCAGCAACAGTGTCTGTCAGAGCATTTGACAGGGCGGCAAGCTGCCTTAAACTTGTTAACTATATCAATATATCAAAGTGATTTTGACGCAATTAATATAAGCTTGTGTCATGTTTAGGACAAATTGTACTACGTAGCCTAGCTACTTTCACTGCAGCAGCTCACACTGCAACCTCCGCTATTTTTCAGATGTGCTCATATCAAACTACTGTATCGATATAAACGGTATTGCCTCATTCCATATCGTTTCAAAAAATATAACGATACATCGTACATACTCGATATATCGCCCAGCCCTAGTTGGAGCTGAACTCTGCTGGACATTGGCCTTCCAGGGGCAGGATTGGACACCCCTGGCCTAAGCCATCTAGTTCCTCTGCCTCACCTCCGTTGTCTCCCTTCAGCCCCCAGGCTCCTCATGCCTGGTACTTTCCACTCATCAGCTCTGCCTTGGCCTGTGGATCCCTCAGCTCCAACTCAAGCCTCTGGCCCCAGACTCCTCCATGACCCCCCTACCCATCTGCTCCAACATGGCTTCCTCAGCTCCACCATGGCCTGTCACCCCTCAGGCTCTGCTGGGCTCCCTCTTCCCTCTGGCTCCACCTTGGTCTATTAGCCGCGTTTCCACTAGGGGTTTCACAACTACTGATTTTTGCTAGTCGACTAGTTTTGCATAACAGTCGACGACTAGTCGACTAGTCGTTAAATGGTTTATTCTAGGGGTGTGCGACAACACGAATAGTAAATATCTCCACGATCTGCTTTTGAAGAAATATGGTAGTAGTAGTATTGTGTTACAGTGCATTCTATCAGTTCTGGCGCCTCTCAACTGTACAACGCGACGTAGCCTACACATCACACGTTAAGGAATAGGTACGGGACACTGCAATTCACAAAAGTTCATTGTTTGCATAAGCCTTGCCGGTTAAACATTGAATTAACGCGCTGTTCTAACGTGCGCTTTCCTGAGCGCGCGGCATATCCCCGACGCTCACAGGCATTAGAAGCCTGTCAAACAGCGCCTGAATACTGGACTAAGTTATCTTTCAAGTCTTATTATGCTAATACTGTTAAATACACACAATGTTTACATAAACAGAATTGGCTATGTCTAAAGTGCAGCCTCCCCATATAGAAAGTGAAAGCAAACATTTGAGAGAAAATCTGGTGTAGGCTAATATGAGTCTATATTAAACACGTCGCGTGCTGGTCTAAAAGCGAGAGTAGTACTCGTATTTTCCGCACTACAAAGCGCACTTAAAAGCCTTTAATTTTCTCAATCCGGCCTTTTCTCAAGCTTTATAATCCGGAGCGCATTATATATGGATCAATTGCTCGCGCTCGTGTCCATCTTATGCCCGCTTTGTCACACGGCCAGTTCAACCTCGTATAAAATATCTCCTGCTCACGAGCGCTCTCTCTAACACACACACGAACAGACACTGCTGTCAGCAGGCTGCGAATGTAAGTTACGTGCCCGCCCCAGCGCGCTCACGCTTACTAAATAAACGCCTCACCTCCGACGCCGCGCACTCGCTGCATTCCCTTTAGCACATCTAGTGGATGCATAATGCAAACCCAGTCAAACGTTTGAAAAATGTTCTAAAATAGGTCATTGAAGGTGCGCCTTATAGTGCTTATAGTATATAGTACTGCCTTGTATTTAAAGGGATAGTTAACAAAAAAAAATATATCTATATATATATATGTCATCATTTTGTTTCCGACTAGTCGACTAGTTGATGAAACCCCTAGTTTCCACTGCCGGGCCAGTGCCGAGCCGTGCTAGTGCGTGCCAGGGCCAGTCGCATTTCCACTGTCACTTCCGGGGCTTGATCGGGGCTTACTCGGGGCCAACGGCCAGGATTTCTGCCCCGTCGAATACCTTGGGCCAGAGTGGGCCAGCTTGTGCTAGAGGCGTGCTCAAGGTAAAAGGCGGAGTTTATCTGTGTTATGGAACGTTATGATCTGAAGCAATATCACGCAAAAAAAATTGCTGCTTGAAATGGAGAATCGCCTATACTGGTCTGTCGAGGATACCACAGCTCTTCTGAGCATTTGGGCAGAAGAAAGGGTACGACGTCAATTTGTACGAAGTCACGGCGTGTGAAGAAACGAGGATGTTACAAAATACATCGATGCTGAACTTCTAAGCTGAGCATTCAGCGAGTAACGCTTCAAATTCAGGAAAAAATAAACAAGTTGCGGGCGCAGTATTGTACAAGGCGATTAAAATGCACAATGGACAAAGCGGAGTTCAGAGAAGAATTTTTCCATGGTTCGACTTGATGGACGGTGTGCTGGGTCACCGTCCCTCTGTTAGTGGCAACTCGTGAGACAATCGGGACACTATTGCAGCCACGGCCGGTGAGTTAATATACAAGTTATCTTCCTAACTTAAAAAATAAATTAATTCATAAAACACGCTGAAATGGGCTGGGTTGTATGACGTTTGATCCAGAAAGGCGTGTTTGGGGCGGGGTTTAGGGCAGCGTTCTGGGGCTTCAGTGGAAACGCAAGCCCGAGGCCACTGGCTCGACTCGGCTTGCTGTTAGCTCTGGCCCAGCCCTAGCCCGGCAGTGGAAATCCGGCTATTGCTCTGGCTCTGCCTCAATCTTTCAAGTCTTCAGCTGTGCCTTGACCCTCCAACCCTCTGGTCTGGTTCCGCCACTCTCCTCCTTCCCACCATTAAGTACAGGCACACCAACTCCACCCAGTTCTGCCAAGTACAAGTCTCAACCAAACACGCTGTTTCCTCTATGGACCGGGCTGTGTGTAGCACCTACTCCTCTGCATATATCCCTATGAAGGATCCCAGAGTTAGAAATAAGCAGCTAAAGATCCCCGATTAGTTCAGTTCAAATTTCACAATGTGGTGTGATACGTTGTAGTGTGTGGATGGGGCAGCACTAATGATATCAGACTGGAAAGAAAAGTGTTGCAAAGTGCTGTGACTCATTTAATTTGTGAATATGCAAGGCAAAGCAGGAAAATAAATTTTAATGACTGAAAGTGGTCAAATAATATATTACGACTTTTAAATAGAAAAACCATGACTTTATGACAACTTGTATATTATATGTGGCATATTTTAATTTGACTGATATCTGTAATTAGAGTAAATAAGCACTGTAATGTAAATAAATTAGATCTTGTAAATGGCTCTGTTGCTAGGTTCCTGCTGGATTGGGTGCTAGTGGCAGCAGCTGGCTGGATAAACCTGCGATCCTTCGCAGTGTGAGAAACTCAGACAGGGTACACAACCGTAAAAACACTGGCTTCAACCTGATCAAACACAAGAGCCCCTCTCTGGACGCTGATGCTTTTATGAAGCCAGGGATACCTCAGGGTGTGTGTGTGTGTGTGTGTGTGTGTAGTTTTCTCCAAGAGTTTTTGTCAGACTATTACTGTGTTAGACCAATGTTGTGTCTTTATGATGAGAGTTGGATCATAAATGAATTGTATATTGTGTTTGTGCTGTGGTAAAGGGAAATGATTGTGTTATGTTGTGACACTGCATCATATCAACACGTTCAAGGTTGTCTTTGTGCTTGAATTAAGTCAGTGGTCCTCAACCTTTTGACTCCAAGGCCTCCATTGTCCAAAACAATATTTGAAGGCCCCCCCTAGCCCTATAGTTTTGTTTTTAAAATATTTATTTAATATATGGGTATATATTGTAAATAATCAAATTAACAAATAATTAATATAAATGAATTTCAGGATTCCAGAAGTTGTAGGAGCTGAATATTGTTCAGGGCTCACACTCTTTTTAACAAATTCATTTACTTGACTCTTCCATTTAATGGATAAGGATTAAAAATATATATTCCCACAATTCCTACACAATAAAATATAGCATAACTAAAACGTACATTTATTTATTTTTTAAATTGCATTTATTTATTTATTTTTTGTTAATTTGCATGCCTTTTCTATGACTTGAAATGACACTACTAAAATCAAACCCCCCATCTATCTATCTATCTATCTATCTATCTATCTATCTATCTATCTATCTATCTATCTATCTATCTATCTATCTATCTATCTATCTATCTATCTATCTATCTATCTATCTATCTATCTATCTGGGTTTAGGGATAGGGGATAGAATATAAAATTTGTACAGTATAAAAATCATTATATCTATCTGTGTGTGTGTGTGTGTAGGCTCTTGTATCATGTTCTTGAGGCCGGGGGGAGCAGTAAGCAGATGGCACTGGCAGACTGTGATGGCATTCACAGAGAGAGACAGAAAAAGAAAAGCAAAGACAGTTCTCACAGTGACCCACAAGAGCGGATTAATGCGGAGAAAAATCAAGGTACAATATACGACCTATAATAAAAATGCACTTTAAAATGTAGCTTTTTTCTCATGCAATTCTGATGATGCATATCGACCATGATTTTAGGACTCAAGCATTTGCTTTTCATGTGCGAAAGACAAAAAAAATGCCTCATTCCTATCCAAACAGACATTGAAAGCTCTATATATCTCCTTGAGTTAAGTACACCAAAAAAGTGTTGGCATCCTCTCAACAGACACAATATTCTGCCAGCCTGTGGTGCTTTTGGCAGCCAAAGTCGCACCTTGCAAACAGAAGGATGCAAGGGGACACGAGATGGATGGATGAGGAATGAATAAAGGAAGGATGAGATCATTTAAAGTAGAGGGCGGAGGAGGGCAACACCTGGTTGTGGTGCCCTGCATTTCTTTTGTGATGTGCGTGCAAATGACGTCATTTTCCAGGCAGAAGGTGGCATCCCCATGCCTGATCACCCCGACAACATCAAACACCCCCATGATACCTCTGACATCATCCGAACCGAGAAACATTAAGATAAGAAGAGAGAGAGAGAAAAGGGAGGGAAAAGAGGTGTGTGTGGTATGAGTGGAAGGGGGGACGAGCAAAGCATATATAGATACCTCATGCTTACTATTAACATACTCACCAAGCTCACACAAACACACACTGAGATACAAACGCCACTCGCATTAAATCACATTCCTGCACTCAGAGGAAGGAAGAGAGAGGAAAGGGAAAGACAGGGATGCTCTTAGCAGGTGCCAAAAACTGAGAGAAACGAGAGAGGGAGAGAGAGAGAGAGAGAGGGAGGGATGGATCAGGACTAAAGAATTCAGTCAAGTTGTAGAAGATCCTCGAACTATTATTGGTGAGTAAAACAAAACTTTATCTTCTGATTTTCATGTAAAAAAATTGTGGAACTAAATTTAACAGGTCAGATTTTTACCATGAATTTTACTAAACTTGTATAACTTAACTATTTTCATATACATCATTAAGACAATATAAAATTATATTAGGTATTTTTGATAGCATTTTTTTTTCTGCCCAGGGTGAATCTAAAACCTGCCAAGAACATGTCCGGGTCATCCTTTACCTAAATATATATATATATTTTTTATGTTTTGTTAATAGAAAACAAAGGAACTTTATTATTTAATTTTTTTTTTTGCATTGTTAATCATATTATATCATTATTTTTATGAAAATGTAGCACTCCCTCAAATTCTCATTACCATAATGCAAAAACAAACAAAGAAATACTTTTTAAAATCATTCTTGTAATGTGAAACAATTATTAAATTGGGATTTAATACATCATAGTAGTAGTGTTTGTTGTACTTTATCTTTATCCTGATTTAGTTTTTAGTGTACTGAATTAAACTAATCTAATGAGAATATTTTTTGTAATGTAAATGTATTTACATTAAAATGTCAACAACAACAAAATCCTACAATGACCTGGATTTGATTTTTTTATTTACTGTATAATTTAAAAATGTTATTTAAAAGTGTATTTATTTACATGTTATTTTATTTTGTTGTTTATAATCCTGCATCTTGGAGTGCACTATAAGATTACAGTCTATCATCAGTTATCATCAAATATTGTTGTGTACACCAAGATGCTATTTTGTTTTATAATCTAAATAATAAAACATATCCATGTAGCTGAATTTGTTCAAACGGTTTGCAAAAAATGCATAACAATAACACAGACTAACCTCTTTCTGTGTTTTGTGTTTCTTTGTTTGTACCGTGTAGTATTTTCTGCAGAATGTTTTTTTGTTCGCATTCCCGTGCGTCTCTCTCCTGTATCTGTGTTTGAGTGTATTCATCTAAAACCGTTCATCTAAATCCCGACTCGCATTAGTGGTGTATCCGGGGCCAATATCACTTGCGCCATGCTGTGCTCCTCTGTATTTGTGGTGCTTCTAGTCCTTCTGGCCAATCCGGTGCCGGGCCACACCCGAGCCCTGCACACCCCTCACAAAGCCATGCAGGTGGGATTCCTCAGTACTTGTACACATATTTCTTTATCTATGGTAAACAGCCATTGAAACATATTTCCTTTCTCTGCAATGCAGGTCATTGAGCAGTTTCTTGAGCGCTACAATGACCTCTTGACCCTTGACGATCTTGAGAACCTCACGAGTGACCAGTTGGAGGATCCCATGCAGACCTTCAGCTCTGGGCTAAAGGTCGCAGAATATCCCAAGTGGATTGACATACCTTTGCAGAGTGATAATGCCTGGCTCCGCCTTTTGAGGGGGGCTTTGGCCAATCAGAAGCGAGCTCCACCGGACCGGTTGCGGAGGGGATGGAATCGAGGCTGTTTTGGCCTGAAACTGGACCGGATCGGCTCTATGAGCGGCCTCGGCTGCTAATAATGGACTGAGAGATGGGCCGAGACCATGAGATGACTGTTGTCCTGCTTAGCTTTAGGTAGAGGTCATTACCAAACTCTTGTCTGGTCTGGGACCCTGTGAAAAGAGTTGTACAGGTGGACAAATTCATTATATCATGTCTTTCAATATACTTCTTTTTACATTGGCTTTAAAGTGACATGTTGTTTAGCTGTATTTATTTCCTTATGAAGGAAGCAAACTATTTTACTTGTTCATTGAGCAACACTGTCCTTCATTTTTGATATTCTGCTAGTAGTTTACTAGTGAACAAAAGGTTTTAAAGTAGATAAAGTCTCAAAAAAATGCATGATTGACATATACTGCTCACTTTCTGTATTTTTTGCATGAATAAAATTTCTTTTTGCGCTCTGCATGAATCTTAATTGCGTTCCCTGATCATAAAGTGTTTTTGTTACGCTTTTCTAAACCCAGGTTGTTCTCCCACACACTGCAAATCAAGGAGTTTCACCTGTTTCTGTATAATTTATTTTCTTATGGGCTGCAAATATGCAAATTGGAAGAGTGTGGCAGGATTTTCAGCCTTAATTCAGTCTTAATCAGCTCGTATTGTGCAAGGACACGCTGGCTGACACACATTCACATCCTTCTGTGACAAGGAGTGGGAAGTCTAGGGTTTAGTGGTGCGATGTATTTAGTTTTAACTAAGGAACTTAATAATCATGGAAACAATTTATTGAACAATGTGATGTACTATTAACAATCATTGTAAGTGGATTAAAACAGCACTGCTCTTCATTTCCTCTTCCATTGCTGAGTCTCACATACATCCACAACCACTGAATCATTTGGGAACTGCATGAAAAATCCCTTCAATTCTTAAGACAAAATCAGCCTGTGAAATGAATGTGTGGGTGTTAGGATTATGGCTTGTATGAAAAAAAAAAAACCTTGCTAAAATTAGCCATACAATCTTAACTTGAACTACATATTTTATAAGTAAAGGAATGCATTCTCTTTCTATGAACTGAATAGCATTATAGGCCTATGTCACCCATAAGTAAGAAGTATCGGACTAATTTTTGTTAAACTATCCTAAAATGAGTATAAAGCTATGGCGTTTTTATAGGTGTTCTTTTATTTGCAAAACTATTTCATCCAAAAATGAAAATTCTGTCATTATTCATTCACAATTATATTCAATTAAACACAAAAGATGTTATGCAGAATGTTGCTGAATGATGCAGAATGCCTGAGCTACTTTTTGCAATACAATGAATGTGAATGGGCACCAGAACTGAGAATAATAAAGCAAAAATTACATAAAGTACCATAAAAGTAGCCCAAACAACTCAAATGTATATTTGTATAAATGTATAAAGGTATACCTAATTAAGCTCAACATTTACTTTCACTGGATAGAAAAAAAGTGAATATTCTACATCATTTATTTTGTGTTCAACAGAAGTTAAAGCAAAACAGCCATACAAGTTTGGAATGACATAAGGGCTTAGAAATTATGACACTTTTTTTGGGTGAAATATCCCTTTAATGCAGCAGAGCTATTAAGCTATTCATTTTTTTATGTCTATTATTTGGTGTTTTTAATATGCTTTGAAGGGGTGGTTGATTATTATTTTACTTATTTAGTGTGTAATGTTGTTGCCTGAGCATAAACGACATCTGCAGGGTTACAATGCACAAAGTTTAAAGCTACACTGTGTAACTCTTTTAGTTTATTCTTAGCTAAAAACACTTAGTTCTTTCAAAAATATATTTGATGACTGACACACAACATAAAATCAGGCCTGTTTCTCTCTCGATCTGCCGTTTATGCTCCCGCTCCTCCGTGAGAGATACGAGACCGGTCGGTGCGTCTCTTGTCTTTCATTATCACTCACGCCACCGGCCTCGCGCCGTCCTCTTGCACCGCTCTCACATCCCTCGTCCTAAAAATTAGAAATTACTAACTAGAAATTTTGCGTGAAATGAATTTCAAAGTCTGATGGCAGCTAACGTTAGCCTTGTTGATGAAAGAATGATTTCTCTGATGTGCGCGCAGTTCCGGATTAGTGGGTGTGGCTTGCGGAGCTGTGCAATGTGGTGCATTGTGGGTGTTGTAGTCTTTCATACAAATGCGCCCCTCGGTTATTTTCTGTCTTTTCTCGGTCAAGAGGGCACCAAATTCAAAAACTCTTTTACATTTCGACTACATATATGATCCACTTTCAATAAAGATTAATGTTGAAATGGGTGAAATGCTCCTTTAAATTTTGATTTCAGGGGCCTTTAAGGGCACTTTTTGATTTTGACCACAAGAGAGCACTATATCATGAAGCTTGAGACACTAGACTTGTCCCGTCAGATCAGATTATGGACTCTGAGCTCAAACAGCTATGCCACTTTATGGTTGGCTAATATGTAACACCCTCACATACCAACGCACGCAGCTAAAGAATGATCCACACCGGAGAGCAGCATTTAAGCAAACAACTACATGTCACCAGAGTTCATTCACAAACTGGTCGACAAGTCTTCCAACTGAAGAGTCTGGGCTATCAGGGGTGAACTCTGCGATATGACCTGACAGATGTGCTCTTTGTGTCAGTCAGGGTTACTTTCAGAAGCTTGTCTGATTCTGAATCATGTGAGTCAGACGACACAGAGTGAAGTGGATCGTGCAGGTCACTCCACAAGATAGCCGCAGTGGAAAGGGTGCGGGGTCAGCCTTCGAGTGTTTGTGTATTTTTAGCCTGACCCTGGCGACAGTCCAGCACATTCTCTCTGGTGGCAGGGGAGCAGATAGCAGGGATATACATGCACTATTCTGAGGGGCAGTTGCTGAGCGCTCTCAACCGGTTTTCATGAGAACAATCATTTAGTAATTAAACCTTTATTTATATAGCGCTTTTTACAATACAGATTGTATCAAAGCAGCTTCACAATGATAACAGGAAAATAATACAACAAGTTCTGTTTCTAGAACAAAATTGCTTCAATGTCCCCCTTGGGTAATCATTAGTAAGCTAGCTAAAAGCCAAGGCAACCGTGGCAAGGAACCAAAACTCCATCAGGTGACAGAAAGAAGTATAGAAGTATTACATTATTTAATAAGGAAGTTGTGATGATTAAAGGGTTGGATGGTAATTTTAAAACTGTGACACCCCAAATATCCCATGACGGACACAGTTTGGCCTCTTCATCTCTGTGACCTTTGAACTATCATAAGAAGTCAAAAGGCCACAGCAGCAGCCACGACAGTCCAAAACTGTCTTCAGTGTAAACTCAGATGAAACTTAACACCATAGAGAGGACAAGACTACTTAAATTCAGAATGAAAAAGGACAATTCTGTAGATTTGCAAAGTTACAGATCATTTTTTGCAACAAAATGTGGAACATTGCACTATGACAGCTAATTGCTATGAAGCCTGAATAGCAATTAATTTTTTTTTTGTGGTGGAGCACCTAATCTCCTTGATCATGTCAGTGTTAATTACAAGTATAACCCTGTGATTTTTTAATAATTAACACCAACGCAAAATTTGACGGATGACAGAAAGATTATAATGCGATTAATCAAATACTTTGTGACGAAATTCACTATGCAAATTTATAAACCAGGAATTAATCTACCCTGTCACTCTCTGAAAGATTTATCTTGTTTTAAACAAGAAATCAGTGTCTTTTGATAATGTTTATCATCTATTTCTTCACTTTTATCACTTTTCTGGTTTTCTTGGTTTTACCACTTGCATACAGATGAACATGTGAAGGCGCATGCGCTGGTTAGTGATTCTGCAGGTACAAAAGCATAGGATTTCCTACCAATGTGAGGGAATCAGGGATTCAGGAATGGCTGTGTAAAAGGGCAGGTCATGGTCTTTCCTGTAAATGTCACACACTCACGACGAGGGCGATTTGATCCCCTCCATCTCGCGCTCACTCTGGTACAGTTGCTGCTAGAAGGTCAGGGTGGACAGACATGCACAAATCAAATTTTCTTTTCTCTCAGAAAATACAATTACTTCAGCAAACACATTTTATCCTAAATGTCTTTCTTTTGCAAAGTCAGTACAAAAATATTCTTAATTCTTTTGCAAAAAAAAAAAAAAAATTATTTTGCAAAAATATGCAGAACGCTCATGAAGAATGAGCTCATGAATCGAACATGAAGCCTTTGTGTTGGTATGTAGATTAATAACAATGTTTTTATGTCATTTCATCCATACCAACAGATATTTTATTTTTAAAAGCTTAGTTAAATGCATTATTTGCTACCAAAGAAGTTGCAGGAAATAGGCCTGGCCTATTACTGAAGACATTAAACTTGATCTCTCACTGTTAAATTTCCAAAAGGGACAAACTCTGAATATATCTGCTCTATAATGTAATTTAACGTAATTTGATAATTTGATTATAAATACTTTATGTTAGTTTGGTGTCATTTGTTATAATTATTTGAGAGTGTTTCATCCAACTTCCCCCCATTGCGACCTTGACATTCTAAGGGGGCGTGGTCGTGATTGCCCAAAGTCCAAGGAGGCGTGGCCACCGCTATCTCACCAGATATAAATTAACCTCATGCTGATTATCCTCCCACTCACACCAAGTGTCAGGACGAACAGACGCTTCCCACAAACGGTAAATTAACATTCATTCCAGCTTGAAATACACTTTGTTTTAAGTTTTATTTGAGTGTTTAATTATGTAGCCACAGTTAACAATATACTGATAGAAATTCCTTATTGAGTTTATAAATCAAATATTTACCTAGCTTATACATGCATAGAGCACAGTTGAAAGTTTCAGGGCGATAGCAACAATGCTGCATGAAAACCAGTTGGTCAGACTCCTATCAAAATGACTTCTCAATGTAGCCTATAACGCCGTAGGCCTAAAGGGAAATATATGAACTTAAGTTTAAAGGGACGTTGAGTTTACGTTCACTCTGCATTATCTTCAGCTTTCCGAGTTCACAACTTGCACTTTGTGCTTCGACTGACTCAATGTAACTAGTCCAATAATTTATTTTATTTTCTTTTTCTTCAGAGGACACGACCAAATCAGGCATCATGGTTAAAGTTGGTATCAACGGGTAAGAACTCCTATACAAAACTGTGACACCATTATTGCCAAGAAGTCAACGTAACGTTACTTGGAAATGCTTATAGAAGAGCCTTTCATACGAGCTTTTATCTATAATACAGTACTGTTTTGGCGTGTTGAGTTGAATAAATGTAAAAATGCTATTAATAATTGGCTGTGGGAAACCTAAACTTTAAGTCTTTGAAAAATGTCAATGTTCTTACTGGACTCCTTATTGATTCGTATAAATGATTAGCGGGGGCGTCGGCTGCGCGAGCCAGTCGCGAGCCAGTGTTTGGGATTGTGCCATCGCTGTGTGTAGGATGTCAAATAACGGCACGTTTATCTCTTGTGTACTTTGCCTCTTTGCATCACTTTACTCCAGGGTCGGAGTTTGCTTTGAGTCAGCGTTTGATACACCTGTAGCCAACAATCGATTTAGGTCTAACCAGCTGAAGTGTCTCTAAAATGGGAGACTTGAGCACCAGCTGTGACCTTTCCAAGCCTTGTAGTTAGAGTTATGCAACAGGACATGTCATAAGCGACATGCTGATATTTGGGTTTAGGTATGCATGCTTGAACATCGATGTATGTGCATCAATGTTCAAGCATGCACAGTGCACACTTAGACCAAAATGATATCTTTAATGCTTGTCCTGCAAAATTTAGGTCCAGCTTAATGTCACTTGGGAAAGCTCATTCATTTTAGTT